CAGGCAGTGACCCCTCACTACCCACTGTATCCCATAACTTGACTGTTACCCAGAAACCTTCTGTCTTTTCTCCTGCCAATGAATGGCTGATCTCCACGTTCCTGGAAAAAGTTTCACTGAAAGGTAAATGTTCTTGCTGACACAAAGCAACCAGTATTGTTTTCTACTAGACAGGTTTTGTTCATTAATAAATAGGTAATAGTGATCTTGAATTGGTAGAGCTCAAGCACCTGGATAGGCTGAGAAACACTTATTAGGTTTGGGCTATTAAGTTCAAAATAGCCAAATGAAAAGTAGAACTTAAACCCAATTTGATCTGGATTATTTGTTCAAGGCCAAGCCATCATTTAATTGATAAGGAAGATAATCTAGACTTTTGTAGCAGAAACTCTTGGCTGCCTTACTCAAGAGCCCTCTCCTGTTTTTCTGTGTAATAGAAATCTGATTTTATTTGGGAATGTACTCTTCTCCCAGGTGATTCAGGGTCAAATCTTAATAGAGTAAGTCGTATTTTATGAAAAGTAAGAAAAGCTTTTCAGCAATCATCCTCTTTAACCCCATTTCAATCCTCTTTATTCCCATTTCAAAACATCTATCCACAGAAAACAAAACAGTAACGTTTATGTTAAAAAGTATTAAACTGTGCATCCAAAGCCAACTTTGGGCTAACAAATAGAGATTTTACTTGAAAGATGGCTGTTTTATATTTATAGTTGTGCTTTTACCTAGGCATAAAATATTCAGAAAACTAATCTAATGATGTCCCAATTGCCACAGGTATAGATTTTGATTATATGATAATATCAAATAATCCATCACACCCAAAATGGATAGTTTTTCCATAGACAAATTAACATGATTATATGCACCAGATGGAAAAATTCCATTATTTTATGAAGCTTTATGACTTTACTATATTAAATGACACTCTTGCCAAAGAAAACTTTAAACCACCGCGTTTTGAAGGCATGTTTTCCTTGTCTTTGTAAAACCAAGTCAGCAGACACACCTGTGTTACAAGCCCCTGACTGAGAATACATTTATTGCAACTCGCTTGTCTGTAGAGGTTTTAGAAACACTCCTTTCACCAGCCTAAGTCTGAGGCGCCAGCGGGGTGGCCTGAATGGACACTGGCGTCTCAAAGGGGCACTTAGGGACCACCCCGAGAAACTCAAGTGGAGGAAGTCGCCGCAGCCCGGATGGCACTCACCCGAGTTCCAAGAGAAGCCGAGCGCGACACAGCCGGCCAGGCGGCCAGGGGCCTGCAGAGGTTGTCCTGCACCGAGGGGGAGTGCCAGCCACCCCCCCAAAGCACCAACGCCGTCACTTTGACCATCAACCCCTTAGACTTTATCCTTTGGTTGTAGAGCTCACACTGTTGACTGTTCTCACAAAATAAAAAGAAGAAATATTTCACTTACTTTTTCCGTTGTTTGCATTCGTCTACACCGCAGGCAGCCATGAAAGGGTTGCACACCGCAGAGCTCTCCAGGGGAACGTAAAAGTAGGAACAGACGCCATCTCCCTTCTGCCTTCAAGCCCTCCCAGGAGGCCTCTTTATTGCCCTCCCCGAGCTCCAGCTGGGGCCACTCAGCGCGGCCGGGTGCCCGGGGACCCCTGCGAGGCCAAGCCTCTGACCGGCCCAGCCAGGCTGCTCTGGAAGGCGCTGGCTCAATGGTTGGATTTTTCCGAGGAAAGGTCACCCTTCATCCAGTGGTTTCCCCCCAGAAATCACTGATGACCCTCTGGTGGTCAACTCACTCTCTCGTCTGGGGAGAGCACGATGGAAGGAAGATGCTGGAAAACTCGAAATGCCGCGGTTGTAGCTCAGGCCTCACTTAGCGGTGCCACAACCACATTTTCCAGCGGACTAAGAGCAGCTCTACACGGATATCCCCCTGGTGTGGGTCCAAATCTGAAATAATTACCATTAGACGCAAATGCGGATAAACTCTGAGTTATCCAAAATGCATGGCTCTAAGAATGTTTGCCTGAGGGAGTCTTCACACAGGCGTGGGGAGTTGTCGGAAAACCACAAGAGGTAATCCAGTAATTCGGGAACTCAAGACTAGCAACAGCTGAGCCATTAGGACTATCAGTCCTGAAGGAAAAGGAGAGGAAATGTCTACAGGAATCCAGAAGCAGAGCTTCGCTGGAAAAGGCCACGGACGAAACAGTGACATTCTGTTAAGGACAACACCCAGCCCAAGGCGGGCCCTCATGGAGGGACTGAGGCGAATGTATCCCCCCATCTCCTGCCGTTTCTCACCACTGACCGAATGCACTGGAAGCCAGAGGACCGGGGAGGCTCCTGGGATGTCTAAGAGGCAGATAAAGGTGGGAAGAGATCTGAAGATGAGAGACGCTGCCTTTTTGCATTCCCAGTTCACCTCCCTCCTGTCTGAGCCAGTTTCCTAAGCAGCACCATGGTTCACTCATGGCATAAATCAGAAGCCTGTTCTTAATCCCTGCC